TGACCCATATATATGTCATGCAACCAGGAAGTAGAAGTTTTTTTGGTACGCTCCCAGAATAGGTTTTACTTTCCGCAACATACCAGCGAGGAAGTATTGTAATCGAGAAATGTTTCAAACAAGAGATATTTGAATGTGATATGACTTGTACATCACAAAAAACAGGTCACTCATTTCCGTCGGTCTGTCTGCCTGTCTACGGGTCTGTCCACTAGTCCTTGGAAAGTATTGTTCTGATTAAGATGAGATTTTCACATAAGGTTACTACTATGCCAAGGATGCAAAAGTTTTGTAGTTTTTCAATATCGGTCCAGTGGCGGCGGAGAAAAATGAGCATGAAGTGAACGACAGCTAATCTTGCGGACAAGGAGCTACAACTCCTCCATTCTTTCTCAGACTGGAGTGTATATCGTAGTTTGGAGAGCTTAGATGATTAGTCGGTTCAGAGACTGAGAGTTTTCTCTCCTTTTTTTTTTTTTTTTTTTATATCGAAACAGCCGCGCAGGCAGAAGCCTAAATGCCGGAACACCGCGGCTGCTATGATGATCCCAAAGAAATTTTGTTAATACGATTTTTGAACTGCCTAAGGTTAGTAGAACTGGGAAAAGCTTCCTCCCGTAGATTGTTCCACAATCTAGACACCCTCGGGACAAAGGAGCGGTCGTATCGGCCAGTCCTGGATGTACAAAGTTTGACACGGTTAGGATGGGACGCCGAAGTCAGGCGGGTCTGTCTGGCAGGCACATCGCGCGGCGGCATCATGGAAGAGAGCTCTAAGGAGCAAAGCCCGTTGGTGTAGCGATAGAAAAGAGCGAGATCGCCGACGGCCCGCCGGTGCGAAAGAGTCCCGAGACTGTCTGTTAGAGAAGAGTCATCGATCAGTCGGACCGCCCTCCTCTGGACAGCATCGAGCATGGACAATGTAGTCGGGGCGGCAGCACCCCAAATGTGTGAGCAATACTCGAGGCTAGGCCTTATCTGGGCCTTGTATAGAGTGAGAAGGTCATGCGGAGAAAAGTACCTCTTAGCCCTAAATAAATAGCCTAGCTTTTTCCCAGCAGCTGCAGCTATTGAAGAGATGTGTTCGTGCCAGATCAGGTCCTCGGTGATCTGGACTCCGACCAGCCGAAATGAATGGCTCTTTGGTAGAACTCTACCGTCTATCGAAACTGCATGAGCGCTAGGACGCTTTTTGTTCGTCAAAGTACAGTACTGTGTTTTGGAAGCATTGAACTGTACAAGATTGTTGCGTCCCCAAGCAGGGATAGCCTCCAGGTCTCTTGTCAGAGAAGAAGTCGTCGCTAGTCTTCTTTTTTCCAGCTCAGCGGCAGAGATCGGCTTGTCACTCTGAATCCCTGCATGCAGAGTGCTGTCATCAGCGAAGCTGTGGATTGGGTTGATCGTGCAGGAAAGGAGGTCGTTGATATGCAAGAGAAACAGTGTTGGAGCCAAGACCGACCCCTGGGGAACACCCGCGTTGACGTTGTGGGATGAAGAGGAGAATCCGTTAATTACGACGGATATCTTGCGGCCAGAGAGAAAGTCAGCCACCCATCTGCAAAGCTTTTCTGGGAGGCCGTAGGATGGAAGTTTGCTCAAGAGGGCAGCGTGCCACAGCTGATCGAACGCTTTCGTGATGTCAAGAGCAACGACATGAGCCTCACCATGAGACTGGATGAGTTTACTCCACAGTTGCGTGACGTAAGCTAGGAGGTCCCCTGTGGATCGTTGGTGCCGGAAACCGTACTGCCTGTCGCTAATCAAGCTGTGACGTTCGAGGTAGTCCAGAAGTTCGCGATTTATGCACCTCTCCATCACTTTACTTATAACAGAAAGCAGAGCTATAGGCCTGTAGTTGTTAGGGTCGGTTTTAGATCCTTTTTTTTGGGATGGGTTGTACATGAGCAAATTTCCAGTTTTCTGGGAAGGTGCCGGATTCATAAGATATCTGGAAGAGACGCGAAAGAACTGGAGCAAGCTCAGCTGCACATCTCTTCAGTACAATGGCAGGAATCAAGTCCGGACCAGAAGCTTTGTTGGTGTCGAGCGACAAGAGCACTCGTCTTACGGTCTTATGCCTGAATGTTACCTCCCGCATAGTGTGGGGAACCCTTTGAATTGACGGCACTTGGGCGTTGGTGGGGACGTCCATGGTGGAGTTGGCAGCAAAGATCTTGGCTAGCACTTCCGCCTTGGCCTTTGAGTCGAATACAATAGTTCCATCCTGACACGTAAGTGGTGGAAGGCTACTGTGTGAGAAGTTCTTTTCAATCTGCTTGGCCAGCGTCCAGAAAGACCGACTGCCATTGCGCTGCGACATTACCCTGTGCCTAACTTTTATATCATGCTGGGTTTTGGCATTGCGGACCGCTTCGTTATATTTGTTTCTGGACTCGATGTCGGCTTGTCTGTTCTCTACAGTGGGGTTTTGTAAGTAGGTTCTGTGTGCCTTGATCTTCTGCTGGCGAGCAGTGTCACACGATTTGTTGAACCAGCCGTTGGACCCTGGTTTAGGAACTTTCACTGTGTGAGGGATGTATTCCTCCATTCCGACGTGGATAATTTCGGTTATTGAAGAACAGACAGTCGACGCATCCGCGTCAGTGAAACATACATCTCTCCAAGGAAAGCTAGAGAAGAAGTCTCTGAGCCCCTCCCAGTCGGCATGTCCGTAATGCCAAGTTTTGCGGCCTGTGTGAGTTTCTGCTGCCACAGCGGCTTCTGACCGAAACCTAACCTCCACAACACCGTGATCTGAGTTACCCAGGGGGGACAGGACAGCAGTGCTGTAAGGGGCAGGATGCGTGGTCAGAAAGAGATCCAGCAGGCTACTGGAGTGTGACGAGACCCGGGGGAAAAAAGTAGGGCTCGTCACCAGCTGGGTCAGCCCTTGAGTAAGAGCGAACCCTTCGACTGCACGACCTGCTGCATCGGTCTTATTTGAGCCCAACCAAAGCTCATTATGGGCATTGAAATCACCGAGAAGAACTACCTCTGAAGCGGGGTGATTGATGTTCAGGTAGTCGATCTGGACGGCGAGGTATTCGAGTAGGTCATCCCAGTTATGGTTCGAGGGAGAGCGATAAAGGCAGCAAATAAATTTGGGTGCTGTTTTGGAGTTGAGGCGAAGCCACAGAATGTCCTTCCGGTCTGATTCCAAAGAAAGCTCCCTGGAGCAGGAAAGACTGCTGCGGACAAAAGCCACAACTCCCCCGTTCTTTCGCAGATTGGAGTGCACCTCGTAGTTTGGGAAGTTGAGATGGTTAATCGGTGCAGTCTCTGAGATTTTTGTCTCCGCCAAGAAAAGCACGGCGGGACGATTGGATTGCAGGTAGTGATGAACAGCTTCAATGTTGCTGTTGATCCCGCAGATGTTCGAAAAACAAATTTTATCTTCGATGTTGTTCCCTCGAGCCCACCCTCCACCCGGACATTCCGAGAGTGGAGTGAGTTTACGTCCGGAGTTTTTAGTGCTCGAGGGATCCATCATCATTAGTTTCTTTGTTTTGGTAGATAACCGACTGCATAGCTTAGGTGTGGAAACATGCGGACATTTATAAGACACCCTGGGAAAAGCTAGCGGGTGGTACTGCCTCGGTCGACTGGTCCTTGTCTACCACCTTCTTTTTACGTGTTAGTGATGTTGAATAGACCTAAAGTGGCCCGTTGGCGGACTTGTACCGCCACCCGGCAATCGGTACTGAGGTATTCCAAGAAAAGCATGGTGGGACGATTAATTTGCAGGTAATGATGAACAGCATCAGTGTTGCTGTTACTCCCGCAGATGTTCGTGAAACAAATTCTAACATTGATGCTGTTACCTCGAGTCCACCCTCCACCCGGACATTCCGAGAATGGTGTGAGTTTACATCCGGAGCTTTAAGTACTCGAGGGATGCGTCATCATTCATTTCTTTGTTGGAGAAAGTAATCGACTGCGTAGCTCACGTGTGGAAGCATGTGGACATCCTTAAGACACCCTGGAAAAAGTTAGCGGTAGTGCCGCCTCGATCGACTGGTTCTTGTCTACCATCTCCTTTTTGTGTGCTAATGATGTTAAATAGACCTAAGGTGGCCCATTCACAGACTTGTTCCGCCACCGAGCAATCGGTACTGAGGTATTCCTTAATGCGTGTACAATCACTTGAACGGGAAGAGAACCCCCAGCATTTGTCACGGCCTCGCTCAGTAGGGTTTAATTACGAGTATATCAAAGTGCTTCGGTTCAGAGGGACTGTCCAAATCTGTAATGAAATGTAGGACTTTCCATCCAAAAAATGTATATTTGAGTTACCACGTGTTGTAGAAATGAAAATACTCTCCGTGTAAGGAGCGTAATGTTGGTTACAATTTTTATAATTAAACTTTCAAGATACTATGCGCAATAACAGAGTTATAGGCCGAGCCCATACTAGAAACTCACGCTGTGTGTTACGTTTTATAAGCAAATCTATAAATTTTAATCTAGTGAAAACTCAATAATGCTGGAAAATCTCATGTAAATGTTATAGGCATTGTCTCAGGAACAAAACGGTCGCTTTATTGACACTGATCAAAAGCATGTGTCAGTAAAATGCCTTGAGCATATGAAGGTTTCAGGCGTTTGTATAAAAGCTACTTTGCGCGGCAAGACCGGCGGCTTTGTATGCCGCCGGGTGTACGGAGGCTTAGCCTTAAATTGTGACCAAATGCAAGTACAGTATTATATACTATACAGTATTCTATTCCTATAAGTAGCAAGAGAGTTACAGAAGACGCAAGTAATGGCCGATTGCACCAACGACTTTACGGATAACTTATTCGTTTCTTAACTTTAAGCAATCCTTAAAGGTACATTTTCGGTTGAACCAACGAAAAGTGAGGATAATTCTCCGATTAAACTGTCCTTAGTTAAGTGGCAGCTAACGATCACTTAAACGGTACTTAGCGCACAGTGTGGTACATGGTTGCCAGGCTTGAAGATTTGTCACCATATTGGTGATTTTCTTTATACTTAGCAACTGTTTCTTGACTATACAACTAGTTATTTTTCTGGCAACTAAACAAAACTGGGACTATTTTTGACTACACTGATGCCAAGTACAGTGACAGAAGAGATAATTATACTTGGTGATTTTGTCGACATTTCTCCTACAAACCGGCGAAATGATTGTCGTTGGACCTGCAACGTGGCAATCGTGCGTAGGAAAACATAACCAAATAGTTTTGTCAAATACCAAAACAATTCTATTGTATATTTTTCTCTGTGTGGTGTAGAAGTGCTTTCTGAGGAAGGCCTTTTTGGTGTTATTGACTTGTTTTTTTTTCGTCTTGATCGACTCCATTTTATATTTGATGTGATACCTCAAACAGGACCTTGAGCTGTAAAGTGTAGATATCACCCTATTAAGGTTGTATTGTGTTCGTGTGAGTTACAATGGAGTACTCATATTTGGATTATTTGGGCGACTTACCAGATATTCTGGATGATGATTTAGAGCTGGTAGATATTATTGTGATGGGACTACCAGGCGCACTTATAGTCGGCCAAATTACTCTGAAGAAATGGATCCACTGGGTTTTTTCAGAAGGTTCCGGTTATACAAGGAAACAGTGTTGCATGTATTATCGCAAATAGATGATCTCAATTAGAGTATCATCATGACAGATATATAAGTTGACCCACTTCTAAGACAAATATCTATATGAATGCATTCATTTTAGGAATCACAGCATTTCACCAATGAATCAGCTTCTATGCTGCTTAAGGTACTATGCCAGTGCAGGTCATATTAGGCGAACTGCTTATTTTATGGGAATTCACGCAAGCACAGCCTGCAGAATTGTTGGAAGGGTATTAAGAACTATAGCCAGCTCATTCCCAAAATTCAATTATTTAATTGTAACACAGGATATTGAAATGCCTACAATACAGAATCGCAATGTCAATACTGCTCAAGAATAAATGATTAATTATTTTGGAAATCTTTGAATGTTTCTTTTTCTCGAGTTATAATGCGAGGAATAAAATATGTTTGTTATATTTTCCCTTTTATTGTTTTTACATCACAACTATCGCCTTCAAACAAAACTATCACAAACTACAGTCTTCACACAAAACTAAAGTATAAAAACTTTAATCAAAAAACAAAACAATAATATATTTTGAAAATATCACAGTATAGTAATGATTTGACTAGCCAAATGCTACAACTTGAAAACTTTCAAGGAAATAAGTACATTAGTGATTAGCCTCTTAATTACCAATGTATGGTCTGATAGACAGTTTTATATTTCCAAAAATTATGACCAATATTAATATTTATAATTAGTAGTAAATGTAAATTTTGTTTTATTTTCAAAATAACAATATATTAAGACATTGCAACATTTGTTTAAGTAGACTATGAAGAAACAACTGTTCTTGATTAGTAAAATTGTTGTGGTTTAGCCTAGTCACATCTGTACTTATGTAACAAAAATAACACTTTGGTACTTAAGAGTTAAATCTCATTTTTCAAAAAAAAAGAGAGGTATAGAATACAAAAAAAACAACAAACCATTAATAAAATAGTCTTGTAAATCATAAGTCATTCTGTCTCGGGCCTTAATGAGTCTAATTGCCTCTTTTTAATTTCTATGTCATATTTTAACGCATGTACCCTTAATTGTTCGAGCTTCTTCTGAGCATGGTATGCAATCACATTCTTTTTATCAACCAACAAGTTGTATTTTTCAGCGAGCTGGTTTGATGACAGTGGCCTTATGACTGTCTCAGTAGGTCTTCTACGATTTGATGGCTTGCAGGTATTAGCACGTTTGCTTGCTTGGCTTTCAGCCTTATCACTTTGTGCTGGCTAAAAGGGTTGAAACTTATAGTGGAACTATTCAAAACTGTGAATGTATGTTATTGTACAAGATATATGTAGTAAACAAAGAATACTTTATCATACAGTTACTCACTTTACTGATAGATCGCCTCAATTGTGCTGAAACAGGTTTTTTCAAATCTGACCCTTTCTGCCATTGATATATCTACTAGTTGCTCCATACTCCTGGAATTGTTTTCTTGATTCCCATCTTCCATCAATTGTGATGATTCAGTGATGACCTTAAAAATATAAGAATTAGTAATTTATTATGGAAAACAGTTGTAAGCAAAAATGAATATCTCTACAGTGATCTGTTGGTTCCTGCTTATTGAATGTAACTCTACAACGATTCAGTCACAATTATGAATATCACACAATATTTCCACCAACTTCAACATTCAAAATTAAGTAAAGTAGAATGTATTTCCTCATATTTTAAAAATAAAGAATATACAGAATAAAAGCATTAAGAAAGGACAGCACATTTCAAGACTTTGGATCCCTTTCAAAAGACCTGTTACTATACCCTAACCAAATCAAAAAACTGAGCAGTCATTTGATCAGAATTTGGGATCGTTGATAATATTATAATATTTTTTAAGCTATATCTGAGCATGATCAGAAATTTGCTAACTGTAAAATGTGACTCAACATTATAAATATATAAATATGATCGATTAATAACTTAATGGTTGCATTTACGTGATCATCAAACATATTCATTTCGTTTTCCTTTTGATGTTCATTGGGACCTACATGTTCAATGGCCTTTACTTCATATTCCAAGGGGTCTTGATTTTTCTCATAAAGCAGAAAGCTGCTGCCTGACCCATATGAAGTTGTTCCACCAACAACAGTGAGTGGGTCCACTATGGAAAAGAGTAAATCTTGGGATGTATTACCAGTTTTCTGTGAAGGCCCACCACCAGTTTTAAGTATTTCTGGCTTCGCTTTCCGCAGCTCCCTTTTTTATTGTCAAATAGCTTTTTCAAGGAGTCCATTGTTCGATGCCTCCCCTCAAGGCAAGCTGCATTAAATTTCGCAGTAATTTTACTCCACGCCTGGTTTTTTTCTTGTACAGAAACACCATCATTTTTTGTATTTTCCATGATCCCTTTAAATTCCGTAATTATAGATAGATGTACTCTAGTTTCACTTGTTGTAAAATTGGCACCCCTTTTCCTTTTTTCGGCAACACTCATGATCTACAATATAAAACTTTGCAAAAATAAAAATTCTTCCAAAAATTGCAGCACCACCTTACGTTACAACGTAACCTCAATGTGGATATGTGAAATCATGTGAAATATCATTTTCAGCACAAAACATCTACTATTTTCAGGCAGGGCAGACAACTGCATCATAACATGACAAACTCACTAGCTTCCTATGGAGCTGTCAAGTTTAAGGAAAGCTTAGTTAAGGAAATATGAGGAAACCCCAGAATGCGTTGGTGCAACCCAGAAAATTTTAGGCGATCCTCAAATTTTAATGCTCCTTTGTAATTCTATCCTTAAGAAAATATTGGTGCAATCGGCCATAAGATACATAACATTTCATGATACAATCAATCTAGTTAGTAAATTCCCCACGAAATATTCTGGCATTGACTCACCAAAAGTCGTTTTTCCTTCGTTTACCCCACTCCATATATAAATTTTCATATTGCCGCAGCTAATCCTTGAATTTCCATAGCCCCATCATTTCTTTACCACACATTTACTCCAGCGAGAAAAAAGCTGCACAATAATTCCAACCAACCTAAACACATATTCTGGTTCATTAAACAGAATTAACTTTGGCTGAAACATTTAAAAAGCCGTCGGACTTTTAATCCCGCAGTCAACAATAAAAGGTGGGAATGGTGGGAATTACGGAGCTACGTAAATGCTCTCCACAAAGAACCACAATTTCGCTAGCTGAACGAAGCAGACGTAAAAGTTGGATGCTCGATTGGTCTTCGTCCTCATCTATGGTATTATGTAACTTTAATGCCAGCTAGACCAACTTTTTGACAGATCTATTGTTGGATAGCGGGTGTCCAAGTTGTTCTAGTAGGCTATAACTCATTGAGCTATTTACAGCAGTATTACGCCGTATGCATCAAAATAGGATATTGCTTCTCCACAATAACGAAAGCTGGACCAGGATGTAATAATGGCAATGTGTGATGGCAACTCCTGGGAATAATAGCAAAATAATCGTAAACGTTGATCGTTTTCACCGAAATCAACTGGCAACTGCAACTAGATGACAATCCGTCTTCAAGTGTACGTACTTTATTATCCTTAGGCGTACTTGACGTTTCGGTATCCAGACCTACTTTGATACTGATTAGTGCCTTTGTGTCGAGCGGATCTACTTCGCACTCCTGGTATTTCTAGTTCCATCATTTTGTATTTGCGACTTACTTTACAATTTGTCCCTTTTCCGATAACCTTTTTTCAGTTGGTGATAAACTTGAATACAATAACATATATGCTTTTGAAAACAGGGCTTAATTTCACTGTCCAACAAGTAACATAACAGAAAACGTGCGATATCTTCAAGTCATGATACATTCTATCAACAAGTGCTTACTTCTTTCTATGTGATCACTTACTTGATTGTTCCCGTACGCTATATCTAAGGATCTTTGCAGATCTATCTCACCTGCAATATGTGGAACAGATGGGAAGAAAGTTTGTCTTCGGCTATGAGCGGTAAGCGTACTCTTGTGGGGGATGTGAAGCAATGACACCTCTCAATATACTATACAGGGGGTCCGACATCCAAGGATCCTTGATAACAGGTTATAATGGAACTCAAACATGTGTGCATATAAGATGTTTCGTTCCGTATGTACTTCATTGCATATTTATCTATTGGGAATTTTTGGTAGACAGAAAACAAATATCACGTGTGATTGATTAGTTTGAGTAAACTTTATTTGCAAAAATATCGGTTTATAATTTGTCTTTGAATCAGGACTTCTGAGAACCAAAAAACGTTATTTATATTCCACCGTCTTATTACTAGGTAGTCAGTGGCTTCATCCACAACCTCAAAAGGAGACTGCCAGTTGCTTGCTGGTAGGAACGAAAAAGCAATGCAACCGAAGGTCCAGATTGAGTGGAAGTCAAGTTGGCGTCGTGTTGCTTCTATTGTGAACAGTACCTGACAATAGGAAAAAATAGCGTCAAGTTGATTAATTCTATACCTCCCACGCCTTGGAAACAACTTCTAGTACAATTTTCCATGTAGTCTAATGGCATTAGAAAGACGCAAGTTTTGATAGAGCGATTTGGGCTTTCCGTGGAAAAAAATCGTCAGATTATTTCAGTGGAGTTGTGATGTAAAGCTGTTTTCCAAAAATGTTTGATAACTGATTATAATAGTTCTTGACAGTTACTCATATACTGCATAACATTACCTCACGAAATCGAGTAAAATCTTATACTCCAAGCATTAGTATATATAGATACCGCGCTTACCTCCTGGGTGCATATCGCGTCACTGCGTCTGCTACTGGCTTTTGTAAGTCTCCCCGAATGCGCTCAAGAATCTCAAGAAATTGCAAGATATCCTCCCTCACCCCGTACAATCCCCCACCCCCGAATGTTTCCCCTAAAGTTGAAAAAAAAAGTATCAAGATTATCTGAAACGACGAAACAAAGTTTGAGAGATTTTAATTTTCTTCAACTTTTGACGTCAGTCAGACGGACAGATGGAAACGAGTGGCACGATGCACGTGATGCACACTTCAATTAACACAATATCTCATTTACGAAAATTTTCGCGATTACAATTCTTGTAGCAGCAGTGTTGATACAGATAGTGAGCAAGCATTTTAATACTAATTTTACAGGTACGCAGATCATTCATTGCACATGATATTTTTTATGTATTGTGAGCTTTTGGTAATTCTAAAAAAACTACCACATTAAATAAATAAGCTATTTATATTCCGCATTTTCTTACTAGTTAGTACGTACGTGTGCCTTTCCTCAAACCTCAAAACTGAACTCAAAATCTGGTTAAAATCGAGTTGTCCCTGGGGTGGACCTACCGACCCCTATAGATAGCTTGAAACTTCACGCGCTTCTCGGCATCTCTGGCAGTCTGTTTCGATGAAAGGCACAAGTGACGGCCATCACGTAAGCGTTTCATCACTCACGGGAGAACTAAGAACTCACGATGCTACTAGCATGGAGGTACTATCCAAAAGTTGTATAAACAAAGCACATGCTGAATAGGATCGGCTCGCTTTCCATCTGAGTAATTGTAGCGCATCGTATACAAAGTTGCTTCATGCTTTTTAGCAATACGATATAGTCTAATTATTGGAGACAGACAACGGAAAGCAAACTAGCGAATAGGAGTTAAAAACACAGTCTTCATCTTCACGCATTACAGTAATGATTTTTTCAGTTGAGCTATATTTGCCTGTACATTTTTCGTTGCCTTCTAGCAACGACTGGACCAACACCGTACTGAGCATTGCTAAAAAGCATGAAACGACGTTACTTACAGTTGAATATCGTCACAGAGCCGGAAGGCACTGACTGAATACGATATGTGTACTCAGTCAGTTCCTTACATTACACACGATCTCTTTTGATCTCGTTAGATATCCTTGGATTGCCTAGACTGCCCTCCTAATGAGATAATTCTTCTGGATTGCTTCGGATCTTAAATTATTAACTACTCATGTCTCCTCTACAGTATATTCAGATAAGAGATAGACCGGATGTAAACAAAAGGTTCGGGTGATTTTCACGCTAACGCCGCCGTCTCGACGTAAAACAGGAGCCCTCATTGGTCAATTCGCAATTAAATGCCTATGCCGAGCGGCAGAGCAGTCGTATCAAGGCAGAGTCACATTCAGGTTCAGACGTGTTACGTATGTCGTGTGCATCATTGCAATTTGATATTTCTTTGGACGTTTTCGTTTGTTATCTTATTAAGTTGTTGAGTTTGTCGTTGTTATTGTTATACCTTGTTATTGATTGTTATTGTTATCAACTGCTTGCGCAAAATGCCCAGTAGTACAGATACTGCCGATGAAGTTGTAAACTCCTGTAGTCCACCTAGGAAACGCTCTAAAAAAAGACACCTGAGTGCAGAAATGAAAGAGGTCATTTTGAATATATATAAGATCGAGCGCGAGGAGAACGAGGCATCAACCATCAAAGAAATTGTTGTGAAGGTTTCTCACAAAGTTGGGGTGTGTCGCGCATCAGTGTTTAATGTGTTAAGACAATACAAAAAAAGTCACACCTTTTCTGAGCCAATGACCAGTATGCGATTAGGAGGAAAGTGCATGAATTCTTCTTTAGGAATGAAATACCTACTATAGATAAAGTACTGCAGGAGGTAAATGGAGATACAACGTTGCCAAATTTCAAACGATCAACTTTCCATACGTTACTGAAGCATTTAAATTTCAAATGGAAAAAACGGGGTCGTAATAGTTTACTACTGGATAGAGAAGAAATTGTGCTATGGAGGAGGGATTATTTAACAAAAATTGGGAAATATAGAAATCAAAACAGGAAGATTTATTACCTTGATGAAACGTGGGTAAACGCAGGACACACTACAAGTAAAGTATGGGTTGATGATTCTGTAACTTCATCCAGGAGGGCCTTTCTAGATGGACTGTCCACCGGATTAAAAAATCCAGCAGGTAAATACGACAACAATCGGATGTTTTTCAAACCTTGGGAACAAGGTTCTAAACATTAATTCCAGGGGGCAGATAAAACATATTACAAGTAACAAAACTTTTATAACTTTCGATAAAATGCGTGGATGTTTTATTGTCATTTTCATTTGTTAGAACTTTTTTAAGCCATGTTTTTATGTGTTTTCGATATTTCAATAATTTTTTAATATAATCTTAAAATATGTCGAATATTATAAACTTAAAAAAAGTTACTAAGTTTTATATTGTGTACCGTTCCTAATATTTCTAATCATTTTAATTCATACTTTAAGCTTTATAAAGTTATAATTTGTTAATATTAATATTTGCGCGTATTTCAGGTTCCTGATCATTCATTTTTTAGAGGTTTATAACTTTAAATTAAATTGTGAAGCGCTGAGTAATCATACGACGTTCTATATTCTTTCTTTCAATATGACTAAATAATCCCAATTATAGCAATTTGATACTCATGTCTCAATGTTTTTTCGCTGAATGTGATGAAAACATTTGAAAAAGGTTCGCTTATTAAAATAAATCTACACCAGTTAGTACTTCCATTTCCAGGTAAAGGGAAAAGGCTCATTATCTGCATATTGGCAGTGAGGATGGATTTGTTGTT